TGGGACATCGTGATGTGGGGCCCAAGATGCTGACCTCCTCCTTGAGCTCCCCCGACAGGAGCGCCCGACCAGGCGCGCGGAGCCACTTCTTGCAAGCCAGGGCCCCCTCCCCCTCGATCCAGGCGGCCAACTCCAGTTTCCCCCAATTTCGTTTGTAACCGCAACCCTGGAGAAGGGGGTCGAGACAGTCATCTGAATACTTGAGCTTCGTCAGGGAACTCCCCGTGGAGCCTCCAGCTGCAATGAAAGTGTAGCGGAAGAAGTCGTCAGCATACTTGTACATGCTAGGGTCGACCTCCTGGCCGCCCCATTCTGCGCGGAGGTGCCTGAGGGGCGGATCAACCTCGCGCAGAGCGCCCGCCCACTTCAACACAGGGCGGCAGAGGGTGGTGGAAAAAGCGGCCACCATGAACGGGTCCCCCATCACTCCTCCCACTCCTGTCTTTACTGCTAGGTCCCCTTCATCACTACGAAGTAGGGCGACAGCATCACGATACCTATTCTTACAAAGCGCAACATGTTCAGGCTGTACAATAGTGGATATGACATGGTCCAAGGCCTCCCAGCTAGAGCCCCCGAACGCATTACTCATATCTTTCAAGATGGCTCCAAAGCTCCACCCAGCCCGTCGAAGTCTCCAGCCCACTACCAGCGAGGCCGCGATGGCCCCTTCCCGACGACGACGACGACGCTGCTGGAAATCCATAATCTTCAGGAGGCAACTCGTTGGGCAACAACTCCGCTAAGAAGGATTTCCCCACGACAGGAAGCACGTGGACCACCCTTTTGCCCTGAGGCCCAGGCTGGGCCGACTCACACAAGGCACAACCCCGACTTACATTCCAGTATAAGGGGGCCAGGTCGGCGATCTTGATTTTCATCATCCCGTCCAAGAGGGTCTCCAGAAACTGCGCGGGCTCCTCGGGAGCTCGCGGGGATCCAAGACCAGGGCGCTGGCGTTCCATACCTCGATCGGGGTGAAGGAGTTGCCACCAAAGTTCGAGTGGGGCCGATCCTTCTGGAACAACACGGCGCTTCGGGGCCCGGCGAACGCATCTACGAAGGCGGCGAATATCACTGCATCCGAACTGCTGGGGGCGATTCCCATACCGGGCCATGTCGTAAATCTGACCCATGTCCATGTCGTCGCGAGCGGCACGCCAGGCGCCTAAGTCGATCGGGTGGACCTGCATCCCGCCGTCGCCGCCAGGGAGGGACCAGACGGCGAGCCACTCCTCGTGCGTGATGGGGGCGCCGCCGAAGCGCCACCCGCTCCGTCTTTTTGCCGAGAAGCGGCAGCGGGCAGCGCGGCGGGCCCACCCCATGGCCTCGCAGAAGTTCCTCTGGGCCCATGCGTCGTATGAGGCCTGGACGTAAGACTCCCGCACAGCACGTACGTGCCCCCGTCGAAGGAGTGTGAGACGCTGAGAAAGATCGCGGAGGTCGTGCTCCAGCTGTTCCCGCTCGGCGTCGTCCACAGTCGCGCGCGAGGCGCGCATGTCGATCCTCTTCTGGAGCAGGTCTCTCCCCAGCTTTGCCCAGTGCGCGTAATCGCCGGGGAGGTCCGTCAGCTTCGTGAAGTGATCAGCGCCAACCTCGACCATGCAACGCTCCAGCAGCCCGAAAGTGTGGTCAGGGGCGTCCTGGTCGTGGGCCGTAGTGCGCTCTGCGACGTGGTCGACCAACCACTGGGCGACACCGCTCACGAAGTCCACGCGCTGATCGCCGCACTTGACCGCCGCCATGAGGGCTGTCATGTCCCACTTGGCCGTGTCTGGTTTGTCCTGACAGTCGCGCGATCCCCGTGGATGTGAAACTTCAAGATGTAGTGGTACGTGGTCTCGTGGAGGTCGACCTCTCTGGGCCTGGAGCTGGGCGCCCACTCTGTGCAACGTGTGGCGCTTGACTATGCGGGGCGCCCAGCCCTGTGGGAGAAAGACAAAGTCGATGAGACTGCTTGGGCCCTCAGGCCCGCTGCCGAAGAAGGTCGCCTCGTACCTGCCCATCGTGTTGGCCGCCAGGAGGTGCTGCTGCATAAGTAGACCACCCACTGCCTGGCCAGCACCCAGTCGGCGTCGTTCGCGTGTGCGTATTATGCCGATGGCGTTGGTCTCGTAGTCTGTCCAGTTGCCGTCGACCGGCAGCCCAGGCCGTCGTTGACGTCAGCGTAGAACAGAGGGAGGCAGCGCGTCGGCAACTGTGATAGACATGTGCGCCACCACTGAATCATCTTGGCGACCGTCTGCGTGTAGCGTGGGCCTGCCCCGCGACTGCGGGGCTGAGGAGGAAAGTAGAGCACGCCCACGCACACGGCCACGACGCCCTGGCGGATCCTCGCCGCCAAGCAGCGACCGCCCACATCCTGTGGGCTGGGATATACACGACGAACATGATGTTCGCGAAATCCACGTCCGAGAGGGATGGAGACACCAGCACTAGCGTTGGTGTACAAGCCTGGTTGTGCTGCAGCTTCGAGGGCTAGTCGCCCACCGACCCGCCGCTGGAGAACGTGAGATGCTTCACGGCAAACGTTCTGGGTGCCACCCAGGAGCGTGAAGTCCATATTGCGTGTGCAGCTGGCGATCTCCGCGGGGCGACCGCCCGTAGCCCACATTGGATTCCAGCCCAGCACCCGTAGCTTAGTCATGTCGGTGGTCACCACCCCGTCCTGGAGCGACGACCGCACGGTCGAAGAGGCGCCATGGGCTGCATACTGAATTTGGAAACTCGGGCCCCGCTGATTCGAATCTCTCGAACCCACGGGCTGGAGGAGGAGGAAGAGGAGGAGGAGGAAAAGGAGAAGGAGGAGGAGGAGGTGATGGAGGAGAACAAAAAACAGGGAGAGGAAAAAAACAAAAGGAGGGCAGCCCCTGGCTGCGCAGGCGCAGGCCGCCTGCTGGCAGGCCAAACCTCGGGTAGCCGCCGTGCATGTTCACCTCGGGCTCTCGCTGGACGGGGGGAGCGATCGAGGGTCGAGGTGCGAGGGTGGAGGTGCGGGGTTCGAGGGTCGAGGTTCGAGGAGCGAGGGTAACGTTAGAGGGTAGAGAATCGAGGCTCCAGGACTGAGGATCGAGGTTCAAGGCTCGAGGTTCGAGGGTAGAGAATTGAGGCTCGAGCTTCAGTGGTAGAGCATCGAGGCTCGAGGTTCGAGGTTCGAGGCTCGCGGCTCGAGGATCGAGGTTCGAGGTGCGAGGGTCGAGGATCGAAGGTCGCGGATCGAAGGTCGAGGTCGGAGGTTCGAGGCTCGAGCTGGAAGGGTGGTGGCTCCAGGATCCAGGCTCGAGGATCGAGGTTCGAAGTTCGAGGATCGAGGCCTGAAGGAGGAGAATCGAGCAGTTGTATAGTGTTTGGCCACCTGGCAGCTCCTCGTCGGCACGGCCAGGTTGGCCTGGTCCTTGAGATTCTGGTCAGAGCGCACCCCTGGAGAGGTCAACTCCTCCTCCTCCTCCTCCTCCTCCTCCTCCTCAACCCCACGTCCTCCTCCTCCTCCTCCTCCTCCTCCTCCTCCTCCTCCTCCTCCTCCTCCTAAGGGGTACTGTTGTGTTCAATCTCGGGCGCGCCGGGAGGTGCACAGGCAGCGCGCGGCGCCCGGGGAGCAGCAGGGACCGTGCAGGAGCAGAGTGTCCACGATGGGCCTGCAGGTCGCCTGCCTCTGCTCCACTTCTTCCTCCCCCTCCTTCTCATCCTTCCCCTCCCGCTCATCATCATCTTCCCCCGCTCCTTCGAGGAGGACGGCCACTCATGTTACTCCGACGGTGGGACCCCGCATGAGCGTCTATTCCACTTGCCCTTCGCGCTTTCCCATTCGCCTTGGCGGAGGCTCGTATCCCGCTCTCTGTTGCGCCTCCTCCTCCTCCTCCTCATCATCCTCATCTTCGCCCTCCGTCTCCTCCTCCTTCTCGTCCTGCACTCCTCCTCCTCCTCCTCCTCATCCTCCTCCTCCTCCTCCTCCTCCTCCTCGCCGTCCTACTCATTCTCCCTCTCTTATCCTCCTCCTGCCTGTTCTTCCTGTGCACCTCCTCTTGCTCTCGGCCAAGACACGCCGATTTCCCTCGGCGCCGATACGGCCACGGGAGGCATGGGCGCTTTCTCCGACGGCCGCATCGCCAAGCCGTTGGGGCAGCCCCGCGGGCGAGGCCGTGGGGACAACCCCGCGAGCCGCTGAGGGCTCACTGGCAGGCCAGCGGAGGGTCGAGCTCCCAATGACTGGGCGGCCCCTTCCGAGCGCGAGCTTGAGAAGCCCCCGCGATCCACCAGCGGAGGATGACGAGCAGGAGGGGGAAGAGTGGGGGGCCTGATGATCTTCGCCCAGCTGTGGCGAACAGCTCTAATCTGATCTGCAGCTCGAGCTACATCAAGAAAGGCATCGTCATCTCTGAAAACATTAGTAGAATGCGATAGTTGTTTGGCTACGACTCCTGGACGAGGCTCTCGCTCGACACTTTCTCCAGAGTCAGACCTCCAGTGCCCCAAAAAGACGACCCTTACCAAAATCCGATGGCCCGCTCGGATTGCTAACAGGAGCTGCGGGCCCCATCGAGAGGAGGCTCCCGCCTGCGACTTCCTCGCAATTCCCTCACAGGCGAGCCTCCCGCTTGATACTTCCCCCGTATTCAAGCCTCAGGAGCCCAACAATGACGACGATTACTAACTTTTCAAGTGACCCGCTCGGATTACTAACATGACCTGTGGGCCCCATAGGGAGGGGGCTCCCGCCTGAGACCGCCTCGCAATTCCCTCACAGGCGAAGTTCAGGTCTCAGGAACCCACCATTCGACAAGTACGATTTTTCGGATGGCCTGATGACCTGCTCGGATTACTAACAGGAGCTGCGGGCCCCATAGGAAGGGGGCTACCGCCTGAGACATCTTCGCCATTCACTCACAGACGATGCTCTCGCTTGCTACTTCCTCCGTGTTCAAGCCTCAGGAGCCCAACCATGACGACATTTATAATTTTTGGGATGGTCCGCTCGGATTGCTGACATGAATTGCGGGCCCCATAGCGAGGAAGCTCCCGCCCGAGACTGCCTCGCAATTCACTCACAGACTAGGCTCGCGGTGGAGACTGTCTCAACATGAGTTTTGTGTGTGAGAGAGTGAGTGGGGAAAAAGGTGCAATGAGTATGACGCTGGTGAAGGTGATGGTGATGATGATTATGGTGGTAATGATGACGCACTCTGGCCGATGATCATGATGGGATGGTAGTAGTGGCGATGATGACGATGGTAATGTGATAGCGATAACTCTGATGATGATGATGATGATAATGGTAGTGATGATGATGATGAATATGACGATGACGATGCTGATGACGATGATGGCGATGATGATGATAACGATGACGATGACGATGACGATGACGATGATGATGATGATGATGATGATGATGATGATGATGATGATGATGATGATGATGATGATGAGTGGCGAGTGATCGTGCTGAGTGACCGAGGCAGTGAGTTATGAGTGACTGAACGAGTACAGATGATGCTGATGCAGATGCGGATGATGATTATGCTGGTGGTGGTGGTGATGATGGTGACCACGAGCATGATGGGATGGTGACATTGATGATGGTGATGACGATGATCATGCTGATAATGAGACTGATGATTATGATGCCGATGATGACGATGATGATGATGATGATGATGATGATGATGGTGATGATGATGAAGATGATGGTGTGAAGATGATAGTGCTGATGAGGGTCATGGTGTTCGTGATGAGTGTGACGTGAGATGATGAAGGGAGGGGGTGAGTGGGAGGACTGCGCGGGGTGTCCACAGGAACCAAGAACACCACTAAGGATGTGGGGACAGAGGCGACGGCAAGACGAGCGCAGCATCGGGATGCGGGCGATGTGCGTGGCACCTATCGGAGAAGGCGGATGTGAAGCATGCCTACCGGGGGCCGCGGCCGTCCCGGCACGTTGTGGAACGCTCCGGTAATGAAGGGGACCTGGGGCACACAAATAAATACACACAAATAACAGGATTCCCCATATTTTCAAATATTTTCTGGGTTCTTGTTTTCCCCCCCAATGCCGATATTGTCCCATATGTTCGGGGGAATCGGCGACCAATTGTCTCTGTGTGCTTTCTTCCCTCCTGAGCATATTCCGAAGCGCTCCGTCCGGCACTGGACGCAACCTGCCTGCCAGGGCATGGGACCTCCGCCGCCGTGGACGTGTTCCACAGCGCGTCGTCATATGCGACCCGGGGGCCCAGACCTCCGACGCCGTGTCTTTTGGTCTCGCTCGCGGCGTGTGGGCTCGCCGGTCGCCCGGCCCCGTCCCCAGGACAGGTTTCCGCCCAGGGGCAACAGCTTTTGGCGGCGCGCAGAGGGGGGTAGGGGGAGGGGGGAGGGCTTCTTAGAAGGAGGCTGCTTCTTAGCAGGCGCCGGCCTTACATCTGTAGACAAGGCCCGCGCCTTCTGAGAAGCAGGGGTGCTTCTAAGAAGCCTTCCCCCCTCCCCCTACCCCCCTGTGCGCGCCGCCAAAGTTTTCTGCGGGTCTCGGGGCGCGGGGTCCGGCAACGGGGCCCTCAGAGACCGAAGTGGCGGCACGAGCTGCCCGTGCACGTTCTCGTTCACGGCGCCTCGTGGTATGGCGGGGGTGCGTGCTGGGCTTCTCGAGCTCGGAAAGGGGCTTCAGCGAGTGTTCACCATGGCTGATGCGAGTGCCTTGACTCTGTAAGCATGGTGCCATCTGGGCCGAGGGACGGGCAGGATAATCATGAGAAGCATGAGGACGAAGATGATGGCTCTTCCTCATTCTGGTCCGTACTCCTCATACATCCTCTCCTTTCCGTCGTCCTTCTTTGTCATCCCTCCACCTTGCTCCTTCCTCCCCCCATCTACCTTCTTTCCATCTCTCTCAATCCTACTCTCTCGCATTTCCTCCCTTCTCCTTCGTACGCTTCAACATCCTCCCTCCCCTCCCGGTCTCCTCCCACCTCCTCCCTCCCTCTTACTTCCTCGCAACTCCCTCCTGGCTCCTCCACCCCTTCACCTTCTCATCCTTCCTGCCTCCTTCCTGCATCCTCCTCCTCCTCCTCCTCCTCCTCCTCCTCCTGTCTACCTCCCTCATCCTGTCTCCCCCCTTCTCCATCCCTCCCTCCCCCCCCCCTTCCCCCACTGACTCCTCGGCCGGCCCCGCTCCCCAACTGCACACATCCTACTGCTGCTGCGCTGGCCCCAGAGGGGCAGCGCCGGGGGCGCGGCATGGAGCCGCGCCGAGGCGTCCGTCTCTGGGGCGCCCCCCACCCCATCCGTGGTGAGATTAGCCTCACAGCAGCTAGAAGGGTTTAATCCCCAGCACAGGGGTTGTACCCCCCCTGGAAGGTTGAATCCCTCGCAGAAGGGTCGAGCCCCCGGCATCAGTTCGAATTACATGCCACATGCAAGCAGCACTCTGCTGCTAAGAATGCGCATTCCAGTCATTTAGGGGCCCGCATGAAGTCTTGGAAGATCTCCTGCCTGGGGCTTCACCGACGCAAGTTCTATATAGACTGCCGTGCCCATGGTGGTGGTCGTATTATTGGAATGCCATAGATGTCATTCCAATTGGGAGTCAATTGGGGTCCTTACGGGATCCACTGCGTCCTGCATATCGGATACCTCGTGGCACCCTAATGCCATCCTGTTGGCATCCGACTCAATCCAGCATGATCCCTTCCTGCACAGATCCAGTCGGATTCCTCCGTAGTGGCATCCTAGTGGAATCCTGTTGGCACCCCGGAAACCGATTGGGGTCCGCCTGACATGCAATATGATCCTCTCTATTGGAATCCTGGCGACATCTTACATCTGGATTGGAACACGACAACTAAATTTCAATTGGAACCCTGATGGAGTCCAATAGGGATCCAATTGTATACTGGATTGGAACAAAATGGGAATACAGTCGTATCCTTCCTCATGGAATCCTCGTGGGTTCCGATCGAAATCCCACTGGCATCCGACAATCTTCCTTCCTATTGAATTCCTGTTCGCCTCCCAGTGGGAGCCACTTGGAACACAGAGGTTCCTTCCCATTTAAGAACGGCTGGGATAGCTTCTGGGTTCTTCCTGGGATCGTTCAAAATTTCTTCCCATCAGGTCGCGGTTGGAAACCTGTTGGAACCCAGTGGCATTCCTGGGTTTCCTTCGCAGTAGTATACCCATTTGGGTCCTGGTGTGTGCCTAAATGGAATACTACGAAATCTATTCGGATTGCTTCCAAGTGGGTTCTCATTGGGATCCACTTGGGTTTCTACAGCGCCTTCAATAAGACAGCAAGGTGTTTCCTATTGGATTCCCGTTGAATTGGTCTTTTTCCGACCATTGGCAGCCGCGCATTTGCTGTGCAACGAAATGATGCCTGGAGCACTGTCAAGAGGGACCCAAGAGGGCACCAAGTGTTGGTTGCTTGGTTTCAGCAGAATTTCAGGAGCTGGCTCCAACCACACCTGAAGTTCACTCGCATACAATCGTAAGGATACTCTGACTCTCAAAGCAGCTCTGCGGCTCAAGCTGACGCGTATGTCTGCGGAGTGAGAATGATGTAGTGTGAGACGCGCCAGGTTGTCAACACACTGAGGACCAAGATTTTGGCGACAACTGGACAGTTGCCCTCGCTCGCCCGCGATATTCGCGCGATCTGTCCGCTGGACTTCTGCAATCCTGCGAGAGGAACACGGCAGCGGAAACGGGACAGTTGACGATACATGCTGATGAAGCCACAGCGACATGCCTGGATGCCAGGCTCTCGGTTAGGACGTACACGACACCAAGGAGGGCCCCACGAGGCAAACATCCTCCCAGTCTCGTGGATGAGCGCACATGTTTAGCATGTTCGCCCTAGCGGCCCTAATGCCGTCCAGGACGGCCACAGAGGCCCCCGAGATGCCAAGACGGCCCAAGAGCGCTCCAAGGTGGACCCAAGATGGTGCAAAAGGGCCCCAAGACTGCCCAACGGGCGCCGAAGAGTGCCCAAGAGAACCCCCGGGACGGCCAGAGGGCCTGCCAGAGGCCCGCTTGTTTCACCCCCACTCCTCCCCTCAGAGGCGGTCCCAATGATCCGGCGCCGGCATTATTCCAAGACGTGGCTCCCCGAAAAGTTTCCCATCCCGGGTCGTCCCCTGACAGTTACCAGGGCCCGTGCGGCCCCGAGAGGACGAGGGTGGCCACAGAAGCTCTCCAGTCGTAGCTCGCTCACTCCTCCTCCTCCTCAATCCTCAATCCGCACTCCTCCTTCTCCTCCTCCTCCTCCTCTTCCTCCTCCTCTTCCTCCTCCTCGCTCCTCCGCAATCCTCGCTCCTCCTCCTTCTCTTCCTCCTCCTCGCTCCCCCTCAATCCTCGCTCCTCGCTCCTCGCTCCTCATCCTCCTCCTCTTCCTCCTCAATCCTCGCTCCCGGCGCGAGGGCGTCGGGGGCTGGGTTTGTGCGAGGGCGGCGGTGTTGGCATCTGGGGCAAGAGAGGGGGCTGCCTTCGGAGGGCGGGCCCGGGGGGCTTTTGCAAGGACGACCTGTTGGAAGGCGGTGGGAGGCCTTCTGAGAAAGAACCCCCCACGCGCCCTCTCGGCAAGCCCCCCCCTCGCCCGCGTCCTGCTTCCTCCGCCCCCTCCTTCAACGACGACAACGACGGCGACGACGACCGGGGAGACCAGAGAATGCTGATACCGCTGCTCCGTGAAACTCTCATGGGGCGCGTTCTGACTAGAAAGCAGCCGTGGTCACGAGGGAAGAAGGTAGCAGCATCGGCATCTTTGCCTCCTCTAAGCGACGGCGGAGACGACGGAGGCGGCAAGATTCTCGGGCGTTGCTTGATGGGGGACATCAAACCGGGGGGGAGTGAAAAAAAGTGTGCCTGTCGTGCAGCCCTTCTGGCTGTTCAGGGCACTTCTCCGGCAAGCGTCGGTCCCCCCGTTTAATTGCGAGACGCCTGAGGTTCCCGTCCGAAGGCGCCCTGCTGGGGGGGTGGGGGAGGGGGGGCTCGCCGCGGAGTAGAGGCGAAGCGTGACCCACGCGTCCATCGCCGCGTAGTAGATCTGATCCTAACCCCGGCAGGAGCGCGCAGCGCGCCCAGGGAGGGCGCGGCTACGGAGCCCCCCAGGCAGTGGAAGAGCGTAGCGGTGGCACTGAAGCAAGGCATGCGTAGAGCAGGGGCCCGGCCACAAGAAACCTTCCACAAGAAACCCGACCCTGCTACACCAAGAGGACCATGGATGTTTGGCGTGGGCGCGCCACGCTGTCCATTGCAAAGCCATCGAAGCCCATGAAGAAACCCGGGGCACCCTGGAGGAAAGCAGGGTGTTTCCTGGCATGGGCCTCCACTGTATATCCACCACCGTGCCTTCGGCACGTACTGGAGTGCCCCACGGCTCATGCAGCTCTGCGAGGTGGAGGAACGCGTGGTTCTTACGGGTCCTTCAGGGTCCAGACCCCCAGTTTCCAAGGCGGTCCCAGACGCTACTGCGCCTGGTCGGGGTGCGTAGCCTGAGCTTTTGGGACGCCAAGAGAGCCCCAAGACGAGCGAAAAGGACCCTAAGAGGCCCCAAAGACTGCTGGAGAGGGTCCCGAGTTGTTGAACGATCGGTCCAAGACGCCCAAGGCTAAGAGGCCGCCAAGAGCCCCCAAGAGGCCCCCAGGAAGCCCTGAGAGGCTACCAAGAGGCTCTCTGGAGGCCCCAGATGCGTCCAAGAAGCCCCCAAACTGCCCCAAAGAGGCCCCCGCGAGCGCTCCCAAGAGACACAATAAAGCATCCCTGAGGACCCGGAACCCAGGCACGGTGGCGGAATAGGCTGAAGGCTGTTATAGGGATATACATATACATAGATATACATACACATTTACACACATACATACATACGTACATACATATATATATATACATACATATTCATATCTATGCACATACAAACGTACACGCATGCATGCATACATACATACGCACATACGTACATACATGCATCCATACACATACATACATACATACATGCATGCATACATACATACATACATACATACATACATAAATGCATGCATACATACATACATACATACATACATACATATGCACAAGGCTGTATTGGCGCTTCGCGACACGCACCCTTACCCTTGAAGTTTGGCACGCAGGCGACAGGGCAGGAATGTAACACTGACTGTTTAGCGATAGCGCTATGTTGCATTGACCGACATCGCTGGCATACTACTGGTTATTCATGATCCGTCCCTCATGTTTCCTCCTCTTCCCCCTTCTCTTTCTAACCTGCGACTTCTTCCCCATCCTCCTCAGCTGTTTTTCCGGAGGCTCCTCCTTGTAGAGCCTTTCGGGGGCGTCACAAAAGTTGTTCAGGGATTCTTGGGGCCTGCTGGAGGCCTCCTGGGCGCCTTCTGGGGGCCTCTGGGGGCTTTCTCGGCCCACCGGGCGGTCTCGGACGCCCAGAAGATCAACAAACATATCATACCCAAAATCAAACAACACCATTGGAAATCAATGTCTTGCTGCGTTTCGAAAGCCTCTCGGGGTCTTCTTTAGTTTCGTCTTCGAGCGTCTGCTGGGTGTCTGGAACCTCTTGGGAGCCTCGGGGGGCCGTTCGGCCGCCCCCCTGACCGACTTGGGCCCGATGCCTAGGCCAAGCAGGGGCTTCCAGGGGCCCTGGACAGCCTGGGGGGCCTCCTGCAGGGGCGTCCTGTGCCAGGCGGCGCCCGGGGACCCCCTATCCAGGCATCCGGTTTTGAGGACGGGGGGGAAGGGGGGTGATCCCCCCATATCCCCCCCCCGGCACGTAAGAAGATAGGACGAGGATACATATCCCCCCCATATCCCCCCCATATCCCCCCATATGGGGGGGGATCCCCCCCCCCAAATCCCCCCCATATCCCCCCCGGTACGTAAGAAGATACATACATGCATGCATACATACATGCATTGAGCCATACATACATATGTACGTACGTATGTATGTATGTATGTGTGTGTATGTATGTATGTATGTATGTATGTATGTATGTACGTACGTATGTATGTAGGTAGGTAGGTAGGTAGGTATGTATGTATGTATATGTGAATGTATATGTATATAGATAACGAAAATCACGCGTGTAATGTTTCACCTGTGCGAATAAAGGTTGTGCGTGTATACGCCGATCAAGTGTTCGCCGTCTGCGGCCTTACTCGGGACCGCCAGATCAAACGACTCGTGATGAGAGGCACGGCCCTGGGAGGGCGGGGGGGCATGCCGATACTTCCGCGGGAGCCAAATTGCGAACAGATGAGGGCCTCCGCACCCCATTCCTGGCGGAGGACGAACCTTGCGATGGGCCCCCAGACGGCCCAACTCCCTAGGCCCTCGACAGCCTCACAACGGCCCAACGAGACCCCCAGAACGGGCCACCGCGCACCACAGTAGTAGTACGGCAACAGACAGATAATCAATACATACACTTTGAAACATGTGTGTGCGCACACACACACACGTCAAGACACATGTATGTATATATACACGTGTATAACATATAAAAATAGACACATGTATAGACATAGGCACATCGACACAGACATCTGTACACACATACGCGTCCCCCGCCGCCCGCGGGGGGCAGGAGGAGGAGGAGGAGGAGGAGGAGGAGGAGGAGGAGTCCTGCGTCAGCACGTCCCTGTTCCAGTCGGAGCAGGTGATGCTCTTGTCCTCGCCGGGCGCCCGCCCATCGGGCCCTCCGCGCCCTCGGCCCGCCCCGCCCCTCGGGGGGGCCCCGGCGCAAGCTTGCGGCGGCGCGTGCGCGCCGGGGCCACGTGCGCGTGGGTTTCGGACACCGTGTGGATCGCTCGGCCTGGAGGCGTGGCGAGTGTCCGCTGGCCTTGGGCCGGGCATGATGTCCTCCTGCAGGTCGGTTTTGGAAGAAACATGGCACATAGTAAAAGCAAGCATGCACACACAAACTATTTTTTGACTGTGTCTGAATTCGGGGATGGACAGACCTCCCTTTAGCAAAACGTGGTTTAGTGAAAACGACCTCGGGCCCAAACCTGGCGGGCGCAAGCCTGGAAAATAACGGCCGCGGCGCCCTCTCGAGAAAACGAAAACGGACACTTCACTAATCGACGTGTCAGGGTAGGAGGTCTGTCCACCCCCGATGAATCTTCCTCCCGTAGAGCGACATGCCCGACTTGACGCTGGCCGCCGGCACGGAGCGTTCGATGTCGGCCGGCCCTGGGCCCCTGAACACCCAGGCCGGGGTCTCCGCCGCGCCGGCGCGGCGCGAACGAGTCGAGTCCACCGCCGAGAAGACCAAACGTCCTATGCCCACCTCAGGATGACCAGCCTGGAACATATCCCTATCCCTATGCTGGGCACCTCCTCATCACGATGCCAATCTTAGGGATTCCCTGATGTTTGGAGGGCGAATCCCTAAGATTGTCATCGCCTTTTGGCGTGCCAATCTTAGGGATAGGGATACGTTCGAGGCTGGTAACAGGAGGCAATGGACATGGAGGTCCTCGGGCTCCCAAGGTGTGTGTGTGTGTGTACAAAAAAATGGCTATATTCACTGCCTCCCCGGGGGCCTTGGAGCATCGCCGCTCAAAAAGGGTGGATACGTGCACGCGTTCCGGTCTCGGACCCCTTTCCCCTGTCGCTGAGGCCTCCGAAGTCCTTGTTCTTCTGGAGGGGTGGGGGGGGGGCAACGCGGGAGCCCCAGAGCGCTCGAACCCCACCCCAGGGCCGACTCCTATGTTTCACCCTGCGCAGTTCCCGCTGGCGGCTTCCTCCAGAGGCTACGAGATGGAAGTTAAGGGTGAGCATTGTTGGCCCATTGTCGGACTCCGGATGCCTTGTCGGCCCGTTTTCGCAGCGTTTTTTTTGTGCACTGTGTTGATGCATGTTTGGCGGACGTCTTATACGCTGTTTGATATGCATTGTTGTGATGCGTTTTGACGCATTGCTTTTACGCATTGTTTCAATGCATTGCTTTGTCGCCGTGGCGGACGCCATGTTTTTGAGGGGAAAGGCTGGGGCCCGAGGAGGAGGACAAGGGTCAGGCCCCCCTGAACGAGCACCTGGGTTAACTTGGACGCTTGCACGCCCAAAGCTGCAGCCATGGGTCGAGTCATTTCCCATGTGATCGTTTTCTTACTCGGCGTTTCGACATTGTGTGGAGGGGGGGGGAGGGGGGGGTGTCTGGTACAGGACCTTTGCTTACTGCCACTGTTTGCAACAGTGCGTCCTGTGGGGGAGCCTCCACCTGCTTGAGGCAGGCGCCAAAAACAGCCAAGACCTACTCCATTTGGGGGGGAGGGGGTGTGAGAGGTGGGTGTGAGAGCCCGCGCCAATCGGCAAAGCAATGAATAAGAAAACGATCTCCATCCAGGATACTTTCCAGGTGGAATGTTCAAAGTCCTGGTCAGCAGTGTCCTGGCCATCTAAGTAAGCATCCAGATGTGGCCCCTGATCCGCTCAGCAAACCCCTGCGGTGATCCAAGAAGGGGGGCCCTGACAGAGAAGCGCGACAAGCGGGGCCCCGAGTAGGGGGTCTCGGTGCAAGAGGGGCCACGACCACGAGGCCCTGTTCAGGGCCAGGGGCGGGGGTGAACATGCAGACCGCGGGCCGTGCCACCAAGTGCACGCTCCTCGCATCCTTCTGCTCCCGCTCCTCGGCAGCGACTCGCTGGACAGATGAGCTCGCCCCCACGAAGGCGAAGGCAGGACGAAGACAGACTCGGATGAGGATGAAATCGCCCGTCTCCTCTTCCTCCTCCTCCTCCTCCTCCTCCTCCTCCTCCTCCTCCTCATCCGTCTTTTCCTCCTCCTCCTCCTCCTCCTCCTCCACCTGCTCCTCCTCCTCCTCCTCCACCTCCTCCTCCTCTCCTCTCCTCCTCCTCCTCCTCCTCCTCCTCCTCAGAATCTCTATGAGCGGGCGGGTTCCTGGAGGATGTGTCTGGCACCGCGGCCGTTCCAGGGCGTTCCTCAGGACGCTCTGAGAGCTCTCTGGCGTTCTGGAACGCTCTGGAGTAATTCATCCTCGCCCTGAGCCTGCCAGATCCTGCCCCTCAGCAACGCGGCGGTGGACAGATGAGCTCGCCTACCGCCACCCCCCCTGGCCGATTGCCTTCATCATGTCGACGCCCAGCAGCATGTACGCCGCCTGCACCAAGCCCAGCGAGCCTGCGGGCAGGTCTTTCCGCACAGCGCCGGATATACGAACGCCCTTCGAAAGCTCGGCACTGCTCCTGCATATGGGTGGGGAGAGGACTTACTCTGGAAAATGAAACGCAGCTCCTCGCTGTCCTCTGTGCGCAACCACAGCATCATGGACTAAAGTCCCACCGGCGAAACCTGTAAGTAGGAACGGAAAGAAACGGCGGCGGCCAAGACATCATGCACGAGTGCCGGCTTCCCCTCAAAAGCTCTACAATCGACCCGCAATCCAAACAAGAGGAGGCGTAGCCAGCGAGTTCATCTTTGGACACCTTCTTCTGTCCAGAGGAGTCAAAAACGAGCCGACAAAAGGGATGAGCTGCTTCTCTCCACCACCACCACCCCCGACCCGCCCCTGCCTCCGAAAGCGACACACTTGTTGGATTGTCACATCTCCCGACAGGTCTCGGCATGGGGTCGCCAGAACAATCGTGCCAAATCAAATCCACCGATCCAGCGTGTGAGTTTCTGAGAGCGTGGGCTTGAGCTCGCTCAAGCTTCGCTCTGCGAGGGGGGGGGGACCTCATTAACTGTCGAATTCAGTGCTCGGCACCTCCCCCTCCCCCTGCCAGCCCCCCCCCTCGATTTCGAGGAGGGGGGGGGGAGGAGACAGGAAAGCGGGGGGGGGGGTAGAAAAGGGGGTAGGGTGCTGGAGAGAAGGGGGGAGGGGGGGGGCAGGAGAGGGGGGGGGGCAGGAGAGCAGCGGGGGAGGGCAGGACATAGGGGCAGGAGAGAGGGGGGAGGCAGGAGAAAGGGGGAATGGGGGGGGGGGGGCAGGAGAGAGGGGGGGGGGCAGGAGACAGGGGGGGGAGCAGGAGAGAAGGGGAAGGGGAGGGGCAGGAGAGAGGGGTGGAGGGGGAGGGGGGGCAGGAGAGCAGGGGGGGGCAGGAGAGAGGGGCAGGATGATGATGATCACCATCGTGATGAACATCATCACCATCATCATCACCATCACCATCACCATCGTCACATCACCATCATCACCATCATCATCATCATCATCATCATCAGCATCATCATCATCATCATCACCATCATCATCATCATCCTCATCATCATCATCATCAGCATCATCATCATCATCATCATCATCCAGAGCGCCCCGGATCGGCGGCACTGGCCGGAGGCAACTACAATATCCACCTGGTCTCTCTCTCTCTCTATCTCTCTCCCTCTCTCTCTGTCTGTCTGTCTGTCTGCCTGCCCCTCTTCTTGGTGTTTGTCTCTCTCCCTCTCTCTCTTCCTCGTTATCCATCGATCCTTCTCTCGATTGACCCAAATATACATCCTCTCATTATCTCTCTCCCTCTCTTTCTCTCTGTCTCTCTCTCCCTCTCTCTCTTCTATCTCTCTCTCTCTCACTCTCTCTCTCTCTCTGTTTATCCCCCCCTCTCCGCATTCAGTTCGGTTGAGACCGCGCGGCAGTATTGAAAACCATCAGAGGTGTTGTGGTGATTACCATGTCGACTGCTGTATGAAATGCCATAGGTGCACGAAGAGAGAGAGAGAGACTGCACTCGGCTCGTCTTTTTCGCAATGCGGGCTCCCGGACCTGTCGACCCACTCCTCTGGATCAAGCTTTCACCCAACGTCGATGGATTACAGTTCTGGGGCCCGAAATCGATCCCCTGGAAGACTACGTTGCGAACAAAAACTGGCCGTCTCGACTTTTCGCACGGGTCTCGGTCCTACCCTACTCCTCCTCCTCCTCCTCCTCCTCCTCCTCCTCCTCCTGCATCCTCGCGAGCCTGGCGGACGCACCTCCCACTGCGCATTCGCCACCCAGAGCTCGCAGATCGGCTGGAGGTCCACCAAGGCCGCCGCCGGGGAACTGCCGCAGCGAGGCGCCGGAGATCTCTGTTCCGTCTCCCTCTTCCGAGCTCCTCCTCTTCCTCCTACCTCCTGTATCCTCCCACCTCCCTCCTCCTTCCCGTCTGAAAAACTGACGATCGATAAAGGAAGGGGGCAGAAGAAGCAGCATCAGCATCATGACCAGAAACAAACACAACGAGAGAGAAAGAGGGGGAGACAGAGCCAAAGAGAGAGAGAGAGAGAGACAGAGAGCGCAACATAACAACAACTCAAACATGCCCCGTACTCAGACACCTATGAACTGTGCCCGCACGCCACGCCACCGTGACGCGAATCCTTGAATGGAGTGTCCGCCTCCACCATGCGGGACTGTATTGGTCTTCTCCACGGGCCCCAGAACCCAAAATGTCCGAAACTCCCAAGGATTACCCGCGCGATGTGTGCAGGGGCCAGGTAAAACATGAAGTAGGAAGGCGTTGGAAATAGATTGGGCTTCCGCCCGCCCCATGAGGAGGAGGGAAGAGGGAAAGCCGCTCGACTCTTGAAGTAGGAAGGCGCTTAAAGTAGATTGGAATCTGGGACTACGGAGATACCTGCTTTCAACGACCGACGTGTACTCTCCGAGAGGTTCCCCAAAAAGATGCTCCCGAGGCGGTCAGAGGAGGTCCCCGGGTCGGCCCGAGGGCGCTCACCAGGCGGCGCCCAGGAGGCCCCCCGAGGCACCCCACGAGGGCTCCGAGATGAACACGAAGAGGGCTCCGAGATGTCAAAAATCACCGGTCCTCCTCCTTACGGTGAAGGTTGAAGAGTTTAAGATCAGGATACCTCCGACAAGGAACCCAGGAGCTCGCTCCGGAGCACCCCGAGGAAGGGGGGGAGTGGCGGGACAGGACGAAACACATCTAGTTTGCTGTTTTTTTTTTTGCCCCAGGCCCTTTCGAGCCTGGCTTGAAGGATGGGATGAGAGCGCCACTGGAAAAGACCGATGGGCGGCCACACGTGGGCCACCCACCTCGCCTTGAGACAATAAAGAATGCGCCAGGGTCTGGGCCCCAGGAAAACGTTCCTTATCCAATGCCGCCGCCGTATTTGAAATGATCGCAGCGTTCTCGCATGTTGGGTGTTCCATCGCCACAAGATGGCCAACGCGGCCCAAGCGGCGCCTAAGAGGGCCCAATAGGGCCCCAAGAGGACCCCCAAGACGGGGAACCCGAACTGACATTTCGAGCCGTTCCCCACAAAGACCGCCAGCAGGCCCCCAAGATGCCCCCAAGGCGCCCCCACGAGGCCCCTGGAAGCCCCCAAGAGGCCCTGGCGGCCCCCGAGAAGCCTCCGAGAGGTCCTCTGGAAGCCCACGATGTCCCAAGAGGACTTCAAGAGAGCCACACGAGGCAGTCTCCTCCTCCTCCTCCTCCTCCTCCTCCTCCTCCTCTTCCTCATCTTCCCTGTCTTCACTTCCTCCTCCTCCTCCCCCATTATCCTCCTCCTTCTCAACTATTCTTTCTCCACGTGTTCCCTCGGGAGCTTCCACAATGGCTGGGGCACCACGTAGTCGAACAATTTGGCCAGCCTTTGGCCCACCGTTTGGCCACATAGCCGCTTCGAATAGGCAAGGTGCCTGCGGCAGATACGCCTACATCGAATAATGCATACAATATCCGCCACTGTGCCGAAAACACTGAATGGAGTGTCCTCAGGTCCCTTCCGCTTCGCTTCATTGAATGTTATAACTCATGATGCTCGTTGGTGGAACTGGAGCTCCAAATGACAGGTCTCTCTGGGATCGCCAGCGGCCAGGGAGCTACAGGATGGCCCACGAGGGACCAACAAGTTAAGACAGTCCATGAGGGTTCCGACGCGGCCCAAGAGTGCTCCAAGACGGCCCAAGGTCTCCAGATGCCGCAAGAAGCCCCCTAAACGTCCCAAAAGGGGACCCCTAAGAAGTCACCAAGTGGTACAAGTATTTGGTCCCCCTATGATGATTGACATATGTTGCGTGTTCTAGCTGTTTCGGGCTTCAGAGCGCACAGGACGGCTCAAAAGGGCCCCTAAGTTTGCTCGTGAAGGTCACCCAGGCGCCCAACCAAGAGCGCGGCCAGAGGAGCTGGAACCCACAATACGCAAGCGAGGATAAACGATGTACGTCGAGACGGAACGGGGAGAAGGATGACGAGGAGGCTGAGACCAACCGCGCGATCGCTACAAAACGCACTCCCAAATTCACCTCGGGAAGAAGTGCCGCGATTGTGTTGCGCATTCGTGAGCGGCATGCTGCAGAACTAGTCTGATGGATAAGAGTAGCAGCTGTCAACACCTTGGGCTGCCACCGTTTCGATAAAGGGACCGTATGCTCAAGAGCACGGCCTATAACGTGGCTCGACACGACTGGCTTCGACTAGAGAGGGAGCGACACACTTATGTAAGGCATTTCGAGAGATGGCCCACGGAGTCTGCACCAAGACAGACACAGAGCCGGCAAAATGCTGAGCCCATGGGTGCGCCCGCGCTTGGCGCCGTATACCGTGAAAGCTGGGTCCTCAAGAGGATGCTTGCCCGGACTACTCCGCCACACCAGGTGGCCGCGCCCGCAGCCGGGGGGGGGCACATCGAAGCTCCCGCCCCGCCCAATCGTCTTCGGATCGTCCTCCACTGCTTCGGGCTGGAAGCCTTCTGCCCGCAGAGCGTCGCGGCGCGTGAGGCGGCCGGCGGCGCTCCCAGCATGGCCGCACGCGCTGCGGCGCCAGGCAAGGGGGGTGGTCCGGCGGGCCAGGCGGACAGGCCGTCGCGAGAGGCCCCCCTCACGCTCAGGCTTAGGTCGGGCATGTCCTCCTGCAGCTGTAGGGGGAGCTTGGGCGACAGATGCAAGGTACTCCAAGAATGCCCCCAAATAATAAAAAAGAGTAACGAAATCGTCCTCAGACTATTTTTCGACTATCTCTGAATCTTCCTCCTGTAGAGGGAGGCACACGCCCGACTTCAGCTCGGGCTCGTGCCCTGGGAGGCGGCGGGGCGCGCACGGGGTGGGGCGGCCTCCCGAGTGGGCCGCCTGGGAGACACGGCGGCGGCAGCCGGCGGGAGCGGGATGCGGCTGGGCACGGGGGTCCGCCAAGGAGGGGCTGCGGCCGGAGAGCCGTCTCTCTCTGCGCGCCCGGTGCGCGGGGGCAGGCGGGGGAGCGTGCTGCTCCTCCCGCTCCTTGTCGTCCCTCTCCCCGGCGCCTTTCTCTTTCAGTGCCTTGGATGGGGCTGTCTTCGCTCTGCCCTCCAGCGTTCGCGAAGGCCACCTCGTGCCAGCACAGCTCGAGAAGGAGCGCGCTCGCATCTGTCAGCTGGTGCGGGCGCAGGACTATCGACGCTGAGGGGCCACCGTGGATTGTTCGCGGATGATTCTGCAGTGCGCAGAGCTGTGTGGATTCCAAGAGGTACACCATGTAGACCTCTCTCTTTGAGACTCCGAGCGCGCTCGGCCCTCCGGAGGTCATCCTGCTCCTCTTCCGAACATCGCTCAACCGCTCCGAGTCCCGCTCAGCATGGCCTTTTGGCCCCACTGGCCGACGAACCACCCTGCGTGGGGATGTCTGCTGTTTCTGCTCGGGCTTCGGGGGGCCTATCCCCACCTGGGGGGCGGGCTGGTAGGGCCGAGATGCCATGGTCCAGTGGGGATGGGGATCGGTTAGGCGATGCTGACTTGATTCGATCGACTGCTGCAGCGAGGCCGGGTGACTAACGGTCTTCGCCAGGATGGGTTCAGCGGTGCTCCTGGGCCACGATCAACCCCACCCTCCAGGGCGCCTGTTCTGCTCCGCACTGGGTGGGGCCGTGAACGGCCAGGCATCTGACATTGTGGCGCATGTGTGTTCAGGCACTGCGCGCCGCGAGGCGCTAAAAGCTGCTCGAGGACGCACACGGGAGGGGACAAAGAACGACACGAACTAGTCAGGCGCCTTGGGAGCACGCGACTTGATGTCAGAGGCTTGCTTTGATAGGGCCAGCTTCGGAATTCAACTATGCTGGGGTCGATGGAATTCGCAACACAACTACTACGACTGTTGGGCCGTGTCCCAACTGCCGGGGATAATCAAGATATGAATGACCAAGATAATGAACAATGACGCGCAGCAGTCCTTCGTACTTCCTGCCTCCTCCAGTTCTTTCTCTGCTCTCTCGATCCCTACCTCATATCATATCTCCGCTGCCCCCCCCTGCCGCCTCATGAATCTCGCCCCTCTGGAACTTCACACGCCTGTCTCCGAGCCGCCATTCCTTGCCCTCGGCTCCTTCGAGACCCCATTCATTCTGTCTTGCAGGAGAGGGGGGGGAAGGCCTGATACCGCTGAGCCTCAGCTTCTGCTTATCCTTGTCGATGGCATATCCAACCTTTGCCATGCCGGGCGCGGCCCCTACTTCACTCCCTCCCCCACCCTGCACCCAGCGCCCTCCCCGCCCTGCCGCCATCCATCGCCCACCCTCCGTCCTCCTCCCCTTCTTGCTCCCTCTCCTCATGCTCATCCCCACTGCTCCTCCCACCTCGCCCCCTCCCTCTCCCGCCTCCCCGGCCCCCCGCGCCCTCTCCTCCCCCCCCCCCCCTCTACGACGCGTCGGCCTCCATCGCACGCTCTCGGGGCGCTGACCGGTCGTGGGCCGCAGGGCCCTCAGGCCGGCCCTCGCCCAAGACTCCGGACGTCGACGCCCCCTGGGCCACCGCCTGGCCTGGTCCCCCGCCCCCTCGCCCTCCGGCCCCCTGCCCCTGCCCCCCCCCCCACCCTGCCGCCCTCGCCCCTCTCGTCCCTCCGTCATCCCTCGCCCCCCCCCCTGTCCCTCCATCCACTGAGATCCGAAGCCTCGGAACAAAATTGAAACATCGTGACCCTGGGCCCCATCTTGCTGCGTCGCTTTTCGAGCCGGATCGATCTGTGAGGGTCCGGTGGCCCGGCTCGAAACAAGATGGAGACGCCAAGATCTCCCCAGACATGCGACGTCCCGATTTTTTCAGGACGGGGTCCCCGGAAATCCCGGCCCGTTCCCCGGGACCGGTTTGCCACCCGGAGCCGTTTCTTGACTCTCCCGAGGCGTGGGCCTCCCGAGGCCGAACATGGCGAAAAAACCTCCCGTCCTGATTTTTTGTTCACGGCGCGATCGTGTCTGGGTATCCGACGGAGGCCTGGTCTCCCAAGCAGAAGAAGGAGGAGGAGGAGAAGGAGGAGGAGGAGGAGGAGGAGGAGGAGGGAGGGGGGAGGATGAGGAGGAGGAGGAGGAGGAGGAGGAGGAGGAGGAGGAGGAGGAGGAGGAGGAGGAGGAGGATGAGGGAGGGGGGAGGATAAGGAGGATGAGGAGGAGGAGGAGGAGGAGGAGGAGGAGGAGGAGGACGGAGGGGGAGGAGGAGGAGGAGGAGGATGAGGAGGAGGAGGAGGAGGAGGAGGCAGGAGGTCGTCCCTCTCGTCCCTCCCTCCTCCCTCGCCCCGGCACTCCCCGCCCTCGGGCTGCCCCTGCCCCCTCTCCGCGAAGGTCGGGTCGCGCCGCCGGGGCCGCGCGCGGGGGGCCCCGCCACGGCCTCCGCCGCAGAACCGCTCTGGAGACCAGGAGGAATACTGAACAATTATGCTAACGGAGTTCCCCACATAAAGAGATTAACGGTTTCGTGGGACCCATTTTCTTGATGCCCTCCTCGCTCAGGCGGGGCCTCCCTGGAGGTGTGGGAGGGGCACGAAACCATGTAAATAGTATGGTTTGCCGATGCCCTCCTCGCTCAGGCGGGGCCTCCCTGGAGGTGTGGGAGGGGCACGAAACCATGTAAATAGTATGGTTTTACCGATACCCTCCTCGCTCAGGCGGGGTGGAGGTGTCCCGACCCTCCTCGCTCAGGCGGGGCCTCCCTGGAGGTGTGGGAGGGGCACGAAACCATGTAAATAGTATGGTATTCCGATACCCTCCTCGCTCAGGCGGGGCCTCCCTGGAGGGGTGGGAGGGGCACGAAACCATGTAAATAGTATGGTTTCCGATACCCTCCTCGCTCAGGCGGGGCCTCCCTGGAGGGGTGGGAGGGGCACGAAACCATGTAAATAGTATGGTATTCCGATACCCTCCTCGCTCAGGCGGGGCCTCCCTGGAGGGGTGGGAGGGGCACGAAACCATGTAAATAGTATGGTTTCCGATACCCTCCTCGCTCAGGCGGGGCCTCCCTGGAGGGGTGGGAGGGGCACGAAACCATGTAAATAGTATGGTTTGCCGATACCCTCCTCGCTCAGGCGGGGCCTCCCTGGAGGTGTGGGAGGGGCACGAAACCATGTAAATAGTATGGTTTGCCGATACCCTCCTCGCTCAGGCGGGGCCTCCCTGGAGGTGTGGGAGGGGCACGAAACCATGTAAATAGTATGGTTTGCCGGATACCCTCCTCGCTCAGGCGGGGCCTCCCTGGAGGGGTGGGAGGGGCACGAAACCATGTAAATAGTATGGTATTCCGATACCCTCCTCGCTCAGGCGGGGCCTCCCTGGAGGGGTGGGAGGGGCACGAAACCATGTAAATAGTATGGTATTCCGATACCCTCCTCGCTCAGGCGGGGCCTCCCTGGAGGGGTGGGAGGGGCACGAAACCATGTAAATAGTATGGTATTCCGATACCCTCCTCGCTCAGGCGGGGCCTCCCTGGAGGGGTGGGAGGGGCACGAAACCATGTAAATAGTATGGTTTCCGATACCCTCCTCGCTCAGGCGGGGCCTCCCTGGAGGGGTGGGAGGGGCACGAAACCATGTAAATAGTATGGTTTCCGATACCCTCCTCGCTCAGGCGGGGCCTCCCTGGAGGTGTGGGAGGGGCACGAAACCATGTAAATAGTATGGTTTCCGATACCCTCCTCGCTCAGGCGGGGCCTCCCTGGAGGGGTGGGAGGGGCACGAAACCATGTAAATAGTATGGTTTCCGATACCCTCCTCGCTCAGGCGGGGCCTCCCTGGAGGGGTGGGAGGGGCACGAAACCATGTAAATAGTATGGTATTCCGATACCCTCCTCGCTCAGGCGGGGCCTCCCTGGAGGGGTGGGAGGGGCACGAAACCATGTAAATAGTATGGTTTCCGATACCCTCCTCGCTCAGGCGGGGCCTCCCTGGCGGGGCCTCCCTGGAGGGGTGGGAGGGGCACGAAACCATGTAAATAGTATGGTTTTCCGATACCCTCCTCGCTCAGGCGGGGCCTCCCTGGAGGGGTGGGAGGGGCACGAAACCATGTAAATAGTATGGTTTTCCGATACCCTCCTCGCTCAGGCGGGGCCTCCCTGGAGGGGTGGGAGGGGCACGAAACAATGTAAATAGTATGGTTTTCCGATACCCTCCTCGCTCAGGCGGGGCCTCCCTGGAGGGGTGGGAGGGGCACGAAACCATGTAAATAGTATGGTTTTCGATACCCTCCTCGCTCAGGCGGGGCCTCCCTGGAGGGGTGGGAGGGGCACGAAACCATGTAAATAGTATGGTATTCCGATACCCTCCTCGCTCAGGCGGGGCCTCCCTGGAGGGTGGGAGGGGCACGAAACCATGTAAGTAGTATGGTTTTCGGTATGGAGTGGTATGGAATGGTATGGTAGGTATGGTATGGTACGGTATGGTATGATATGGTATGGTATGGTACTGGAGGTATGGTATGGTATGGTACGGTGTGGCATTGGTGTGATCTGGTATGGTATGCTATGGTACGCCATGGTATGGTATGGTAAGGTATGGTACGTATGGTGTCGTATGGTATGGTATGGTATGGTATGGTATGGTATGTGTGGTAGGAACTATGGTATGGTATGGTGTGTGGTAGGAATAATATTGTGCTGTATGGAAGATGGAGCGGGAGGTGGGTGGGAAGGAGAGGGTGTTCTGGGAAAACAAGAACCCCACTCAGGATGTGGGGGAAAAAACATTCCACGTAAAAATGCCAATGAAAAGAAAATAATGAAAATATTCAATCGTAGTAATCATAGTAATAGCGATAGTAGTAATACTAATACTAACACTAAAGAATAATAATAGTAATAAGAACAATAATAATAACAATCATAATAGTAATGATAATCATGCTCATACTATTAAATGATGAAAGCAAGAAGAATGAGAACACTCTGGGGACGATGTTGAAATATGTTGGGCCATGTCTGAATGTCTGTTTGACCATGTCTCACCTCTTTTCCAAAATCCGCCTGTGGGAAGACGTGCCCGACCTGACGCTACTTGCTCCCCGAGCGTCGGCCAGGGGTGGTCCCGACAGCACCCGAGAGAACCCACAGACGCCCCGAAAGCGGCCGAAGAGGTTGCAATCTACGGTTTTGTTGTTCCCATCCTACTTTAAAGACCGCATCCCAGAAATGATTTCGAGCATCCGGAAAAATGTCAACAGAGTGTCGAAGCAGTGCCGAAACAATGTCGGGCGAGTGTCTCCCAGGGCCCGACACGTGAAAACCCTTGAGTTTCGGTACTACTTTGGGCGCTCGAAATTCTTCCTGGTGATCAAAGCTAAAGTAGGTTGGAGCATCATAAGTCTACGGGCCCCAGAGGGCCCCAGCAGGGCCCCATAGGCTTCGAAAGGGGCTCGAGACCTCCAGCAAAAAGGCCGCCAAGGCGGCCCTGGATGGCTCCCTCGGACAGCCCCGAGACGTCACAAGAGGACCCCCCCACCCTGGGCAAGCCAAAGGCTACCGATACGTTACTCCCCGGAGTCTCTCCCGGGGTGCGTTCTGACCAGAATTTCGAGGCGAAGCCAGCGGTGGCGACGAGGGCCTCCCAGGAGGCCCCAAAGGAGGAAAGGGGCGCGCAGGGTAGCGGTATGGGTATACCTGTTCCTCCTCTGAGGACCAACGGGCCGACTCCTCGGGCTCGGGGGCCCAGGGATCCGCGCGAACCCCAGAAGGTTGATGTTTTCGCAAGCTCGTGCCCTTCTTCGACTCTGTGCGCCCGCGAGCGCTCCGGGCGCCGGCCAGGGGGAGGCCTTGACCACCTCGGGATTGAGGAACAGGAGTGTCACCTCAGGCAGCGGAGGGTCGGCTACACGCAAGAGCGACCCCGGGCATAAAGAGTGACCTTGTTGGGCGCGGCTTTTGGGGGGCCCCGCGGGGACCAAACACAAGCGAGCAAGACGCTACTATCGTACAGTCATCGTGCTACCATAAGGAAGGCATCGTAAGAAACAAAGGGGCATTTCTGGCCACGGCGGGCCTAGGGCCACAACCAGGTTCCACGACATGAGTCTAATGAATGGCCCGAAATCCCGAGTCCCTCCTGAGCCCAAAGCGGCCCTTCTTTCAACGACCTCACTGTACTCGTTCGGCGGTCGAGGGATCCCGATGCGCCTGCGCAAAAGGTCACTCCGGCGAAGGGTCACTCGTACGTGTAGCCGAGGAGGGGCGGGCGGCGCGCGCATGGGCGCGCACCCCCGGTGCGGTGGGCAGGCCCGGGTGCGGCAGCGTGGGCCCTGCCGCGGCATTTTGTAGCGAACAGCATCGGGAAGCCAAGCCTCTGACGCAGCGTACAAGGCCACAGTGATCGATCTCTCATTCGGCGTGTCGGCATCGGGCGGAAGGGGGGGGGGGGGCGCTCTGTGCCTCTGCTTAGTGCGACCGTGTGGAACAGTGCGTCCTATATGGGGGAGGTTCCATTTGCTCGAGACAGACGCTCAAGAACAGCCAAGATCAAGATCCACTCCATGGGGGGGGGGGCGTGCGAGGGCGGGCGCATAGAGGCAAAACAAAGCATCCGAAGACGATCACAAACCCGAGTCCGTTCGCCGTGTTCGGCCTCTGCACACTATAACGACCCTCGGCCTCGGCCGCGGGACCGCATAACAAAACTGGCCGCGGGGATGACAAGCCGGTCCCAGCGGAATGGGCAGGGGATCCAGACATCTCTGGAGGAGGAGGAGGAGGAGGAGGAGGATAAGGAGGAGGAGGAGGAGGAGGAGGAGCCACGCCGTGAAGACATCACGGCTCCGTATGTCTGGGATGATGACGGGCTTCATTCAGAATTGGAATGGCGGGAGAGCCGAAGTCGGAGAGATGGGACCCGAAGATCCGGCGCTACAACATACAAATGCCACATCGGAACAAAACAACACGCCCGGCTACAGCTACGATCATCGGAGAAACCGACTATAGAACGACTTGCGAACTTCAGACACAACGGCCTTCCTGGTATCTCAGAGGACGACCGCACAAGACCCATCAAACTCGCGACAACGTAGCTATTGCACACCCCGACTATCTCTACGCATCCCGAACTAGCCATACCTACACATGTATTATACACATACATGCACACATGTACGTCCCCGACTGTCGGAAAACATCCCCATCTACATCTACTCGGCCCCTAATTGTATATTTAACAATGCATCGAACTGCCTACCCCTACATGTGAGATTTGGGGTGGCATCGAAGCGAAACGGAATCCCCTAACTGGGGAATCGGTTTCGGTGGCGGCTTGTGTCGTGCGTGATGCACGCACGGGCGAGGCGAAGCTGCGCCAAAGCGAGAGAGACCCGGCCTTGCCACGGCCAGGATCCATCACTTCGTTGTGGCCCCCTGGCGGCCAGGCGGTCTCCCTGAATTGCCCAGAGGTTGTCCCCAGGTTGTCCCTTGGTTGTCCCGTGGTTGTCCATGGTTGTCCCGATGGCTATCCTAACAGTTGTCCCGATGGCTGTCCTGATGGCTATCTTGGTACCTGCCCCGATGGTTGGTTGGCTGTCCTGTGGTTGCCCCGTGGTTGTCCCGAAGGTTGTCCCCATGCTTGTCCGATGCACGAATATACACATGTACATGTACATAAGCAAAGATACAGACAGACAGCGATGCGTGTATATGTATATATGTATACACATGTATATATATATATACATATATATATGTATGTATGTATACAAGCCTGCATTGGCGCGTCGCATCAATGCTTGTTCGTTGAGGTATGGCATGCAGGCGGAAGGGCAATCTGTCAAAACAGACTTGTTTTTTGGTAAGATTGCCGTTCTAATGATGTTATTCGTTACTCTTCCCTCATATGTATTGTTCCTCTTCCTCGTTCTCGCCCTACCAGCGAATTCTTCCCCATCCTCCTCAGCTCTTTTTGCGGAGGTTCCTCCTTGAAGAGCCTTTTGGGGGCCTCACGAAAATTTGTAAAGGCTTCTTGGGGCCGTCTGGAGGCCTCCTGGGCGCCTTCTGGAGGCCTCTGGGGGCTTCCTCGGGCCATTCTGCTTCCAACCGCGGTCTCCCTGAACGCCCGGGTCACGATTTGGAATGGTTCCGGATGCGTCTTGGGGCCATCTTGACCCGTCATGGGGCTCTCTTCGGGCCATATTGAAACCCTGTTGTGCTGTCTTGGGGCTCTCCTGGAATACCTGGAAGCACTTCCGGATAGTTTTGGAGCGATTTTCGGACCTCCTGGGCGGTCTCGGACGACAGGAAAACCGCAGAACAGATCATCCCCAAACTCATACAAAACCCGTTGAAAGTTTTCACACGGGCCCAAGAGTGCCCTAAAGATCGTCCCAAGACAAGCCCAGAGGCCCCCAAGAGGGCCCCAAGACGGCCCCACAGGCCCCAAAACGGCCCAAGAGGCGCCCAAGACGGCCTAAGAAAGCCCCCAAAGACGGCCCCAAAAGGGGGCCCAGATGGAGAACCCGTACGGACATTTTGAGCCCTCGGCCACGAGGGGCTCCCAGGAGGCCCCAAGAAGCCCCCAAGATGCCTCCAAAAGGCCCCAGGAGGCTCCCAAGGGCCCCAAGAAGCCCCCAAGAGGCCCCCCGAGAGGCCCCCAAGAGGCCCCAAAACTGCCTCCGAGAGGCCCCCGAGAGCGTCCCGAAGAAGCATCCCTGAAAACTCCGACCCACAACCCAGGCACGGTGGCGGGATGGGCCGAATGCCAATGGAATTGTATCCGCCGCCCCCTGTCGATTCATCGCAGTGGTGCCTGGCGTGCTAGACCCTTTCGGTTTTGGTGTTGGTTCTTTTTCCAAAAGAACTCCCCCTGGGGCTTCGGCCCGTCCTGCCGGCCATCTGGAAGGCCCGCAGTTCTCCAAATTTGTCCCTCAAGATGGCCCAAGATGGTCTCCAAGATGGCCAAGTTGGCCCAAGATGGCCTCCAAGATGGTCCAAGATGGCCTCCAAGTCCGCCCAAGATGGTCCAAGACGGCCTCCCGAATACGGCCCAAGAGGCCCCCCAAAGGCCTCCAAGACGGCCCAAGAGGCCTCCAAGAGGTCCCCCCGGAGAGCCCGAAGAGGCCAAATAATTGATGTTCCTTAGGTTTCCGAAGGATGTTCGCATTCGCTTCTTCTCGGCTTTCCGACGACCCAAGACGGCCCAAGAGGCCCCCAAGATCGCCCCCACAGCGCCCAAGAGGCCTCCAAGATGGCCTCAGGACTGCCCAAGAGGCACCAAAGACGGCCCCAAGAGGGCACAAAGACGACCCAAGAGGCCTCCAAGACGCCCAAGATGGCCTCTAAGACAGCCCTGGAGCACCCCAAGAGGGCCCCAAGTCGGCCCAGAAAGGCCCCCCAAACGGTTTCCGACGGCGTCAAACGGGCCAGGAGCCCACCAAGATGGCCGAAGTTGGCTCGAAGCTGGCCCAAGACGGCCCAAGGGGCCTCCAAAACGGTCAGAAAAGGCCAGCAACACGGATGTTCCGTAGGTTTTCGAAAGGTTTTCACAATTGCTTCGTTTCGGCCTTCCGACGGCCCGATACGGCCCAAGAGCCCCCAAAGATCGCCCAGGGATCGCCCAAGAGGCCTCCAAGATGGCCCCAGAACTGCCCAAGAGCCCCCCAAGACGGCCCCAAGAGGCCCCCAAGACGGCCCAGGAGGCTTTTCAGACACCCAAAATGGCCTCCAAGACGGCCCTGGAGCATTCCAAGAGGGCCCCAAGTCGGCTCAGAGAGGCCCCCCAAACGGCTTCCGACAGCGTCGGACGGGCCAGGGGCCCACCAAGACGGCCGAAGATGGCACTAAGATGGCCCAAGACGGCCCAAGAGGCCTCCACGAGGGCCTCCAGCAAGGCCGGGAAAGGCCCAACCCACTGATTTCCAATGAGTGTTTGAAGGATTATGGCATTTGCATTAGTTCTGCCTTCCGACGGCCCGAGACGGCCCAAGTGCCCCCAAAGATCGCCCAAAAGGCCCAAGACGGCCCCAAGAGGCCCCCAAGACGGCCGAAGGGGCCTCCAAGACGCTCAAGATGGCATCCAAGACGGCCCAAGAGCCCTCCAAGACGTCCTCCTAGAAGACCCGAAAGGGTCAAAATGGCCTCAAGGCGGCCAAGATGACCTTGAAGATGCCCACGTGTTCCCCGAAGGCTTTCCAAACCGAATCGGGGAACACATCCCATAGCTTGGCAGGTCTGGCCTCAACGTTCGGCCACATAGGCGCTTCCACAAAGGCAGGTGGCGGCGATGATTCGCCGTAGGCGTCTTCGACATGTGTAATATATATATATATATATATATATGTATATATATATACATATATACACATATAAACATATATACACATGTACATCTACATATGTAAGCACGCTTACACCCCTAACGATATATCTAAACTGTCACAGATACGGGCATATGGATACATACTATCCCTACTGCACTTCGGAACCCTACCGAGCCCTTCGGAGCGGTAAAAACCAGATGTTCTCCACTTCCTCCTCCTTCACCTCCCTCTCCCACTTCGTTCCTCCTCCTCCGCCCCCTTCCTCCTGCTCATCCTTCCTCAATCCCCCTTCCTATCCCCTCTGTCCATCGCTTCGTCTTCTTCCCTTCCTCCCTCGTGCATCCCTACCCACTCGCTCCTTGTCCCAGTCTGCTCCGCCTTTTACTCCCTCCTCCAACACCTTGCTCCTCCTTATTCTCCTCCTCCGCCCTCCATTTTCTTCCTCCTCCTCCTCCTCCTCCTCCTCCTCTTCCTCCTTTTCTTCCTCCTCAGCGCCGCACCTTCCCACGACCAAGAAGTTGACCAACGGCTTCAAAAGCTTCTGGAAATGTTCGGAGGCAAACGGTTGGTCTTCGGAGATGTTCAGAGTCAATCGATGGGTTTCTTGACATTTCGGATATTTCCAATGGCGTGTTGTGGCTTTTCGCATGAGGTCGACAGATTTCTTATAGATTCGGATGTTCTGGAGGGCATCGGGCTGGTTTCCGGAAACATTCTAACAAACTCAGCGGGTGGGCTTCACATGTTCCACACCTGGGAATGATCCCAGAGATGTTCGAACGTCAGGGGACGCCAACTTCTGCACCGCTCCGATCTTGGCAAGGCCGATCCTTAGGGCCCGGAATGGGCGGTGTGCCCTCCCCCCCCTCTCCCCACCCCCCTTCCTCCTCCCACTTCCCTCTCCTCGCCGCAGGCCTCTCCCTGCGGCCCTGCAGGGAGGAAGACGGCGCCCGTGGGCAACTTCTGAGCTGCACGAAATTCGGTTGTGTCGATCGTCGGCTCCTCCTCGAGCTTCTCCTCCTCTTCCTCCTCCTCCTCCTGGCCCCCGTGTGGCATGGAAGCCCTCGTGGGCCCTGCGGACAAGCGTGCGGCCAGGGTTGCCACGGTTGCGAGCGTGCGTCGCGGCAGGGGGACTGACGGCTGGACGCGGTGCACGCCACAGGCCACAGCAGCCTTGCAGCCGCAACCCCATCCCCACACAACCGGGACTGGTCGCAGAGGACGTCCGAGAGGACGGGAGTGCTCCAGACATTGAGCGGCCACGAAGAACAACGGACATGAGGCCACATGGACACACCTGAGCTTGCAAGGTCGACCTGCTGATCCGACCCGACTGCATCCCGCAAGAGGCTCCTCCAACTCCTCCACGCTCTCACTCTCCCCTATCTTCCCAGGCGACGCCTCAAGCGGAACCGTTTCCAGAACGTTCAGCTGCAATATGTAGGTTCTGCGGCTCACCGGGAACGCCAGCTGGCAGATCGGTGTTTGCTTCTGCGCCCGCACCGCCGCTCCGGTGTCGCCGCCCCGCCGCATGCATGGAGGAGTCGGAGCACAGTCGATCCGTATCATGAGAATGCACGATGCGGATGCAAGGGCCTTGGAAGGCCACTTCGAAGCTTCTCGAGCGGGGCGCAGCCAGCGAAAGTGGCGAAGGATGGGCCGAGGAGGCAAGGATGCAAGGGCACCCTTGGGAAGGTTACCCACCCTTGCCATGCGGGTTGACTGCAAATGGGCTCCGGGGATCGCGCCGCATCGCGCCGATGCTTCGGTGACGTCGGGATGGAGAAGCTCATGCTCTGGGTCGCGCCGCACCGCCGATGCATGGGCGGTGCGGCGCGCTCCCGGCCACATTCGAGATCCACCAATGGGGGCGCGCAGGAGAAGGAGCAGGAGGAGGAGGAGGACGAGGAGGAGGACGAGGAGGAGAAGGGGGAGGGGGAGGAGGGGGGCATGAGTTCGATCCGCTTGTGCACCGAACTGCCGCACGTAGATGCTTCCCGTATGCCCCACCTGTTGGCAACTATCGTATCGGGAGCTGCCAGCGGCTGGGTGGGCATCTGTTTTGGGCGGATT